TTGTGAAGTGTCAAGCACAATGTCATCGAATGAATTAAAACCGTCAATGCCGGTGGATTCGACTTTTATAATTCAAGCTCCGAGAGATTGTTGTCGACCTTTGACCACAGCAGCGAAGTCTTTAACTTCTTCAAGATTACAAACGAAATCAAGTTATCGGATGATATTAAGCCGAATAGTTTTCTCGCATTGTGAATTGTCGACCAGATCTAGCCGACACCATGGATAAAACTCCACTGTGTAGTACCAAACCGAGGTCTGGCCACTGTCGCATACTTTTACGTTATGACTTATTATAAGAGCATTCACATGACTCTTTATTATATTTACGTGACTCGTTTGATGGCTCCCCTACAATGTAGGCTTGAATCGGCAATTTCGCCACTTGGTGCCGCCCACCTCCGCTATCAACGTCCAAACATTAGCAAGTAGGCCACAAAGTGGTCTCGTGGCATGGATTTAGACTCGAATTCGAAAAATGAGAACCACTCGGTCAGGGTTGTTCTCGTTGGTGACGCAGACGTCGGCAAAAGTGCCATTATCAAGCGATATAGGCAGAATACACCGCCTTCTCCTTCTCAACTTGGACTAAAAGGACATGTTCGAGGAGGTAATACGACAGTTGGCCTTGCACCCAGTTCATCATCCAATCCTCATGAACAACCGAAGCGCCGATACGACCAAAGGGGGCCTACAGCTGGCGCTAGTTTGAAAATACACTCAACAAATACACTACCACTAAGGTTCTCTTTGTACGCGATACCAACATCGGATTTAAGATTTCCTGGTCTATGGGAACGAGGCCTTGCAGACTGTGACGTTATCGTTATTTGCTACGATTGCTCAAGAGTGGAGACCCTTCATAATGTCGTTTACAAGGTATGAAACCAATTTCTCCTTTCAAAGTGAAAAGCTAATCGACTTATTAGTGGCACCCAATGATACTACACTATGCTCCTGATGTTCCCGTCTTTCTACTCGGTTGTAAATCTGATCTAAAAGTGGAACCTCACCACAATTCTCCTGAAACTGTTACTACTGAAGAGGCAAGAAAGGCTGTACGTCAAATTGGAGCCGTAGACGGATTCGAATGCACTGCATTTGATAGTGATTCTGTCAAGAACATTTGTAGCACATTAATCCGATACGCTCACCACTCATACTTTGCAAACGCATGACATATTTCCATGCTATGGGATCGTGTGCAAGGTTTGCTGGATCCCATTGTAGCAAGGAGTCTGGTATCGCACTCTCGGACATACACTCGTTAATTATATTCTTTAAACCCATCAGTTTGCCAAATCAACTGGTATTTCCTCATCTATACAGCTCTATGTTTTACAAAGAACTACTCTTCGAGGATTGGAATCACTCTCCTCTCCTCCTTGCTCTCTACCAAACCTTTGTTGATTTATTGAAGTTATTCCAGTTCTTATTTCGTCCAATGCACTCGCTGTATCAGAACTCCTGTGTTTGATCCACCCTAGACATGTTTTGTTCATGCAAAAGTAGATTAAATCAGAACATGATATGTGCTATCTATGAGATGCAAATGGAAAGCTTGGATATGTAGAATCCGTTTGCTAGAGGCCCAAGCAGAAATTACCTGTTGACCAAACAGTAATTTGACGCCTTCACTGATTGGCCCCTCCCACCTCTGACTATTAACGAGCAAGTCATTATTAAACAAGCCAGACTCTCATTATGGCGCAGAATGGGGATGCAGAGTCGGGAGTACCAGACGAATGGATGTATATTATGTTGATTGGCGATCCAGCAGTGGGCAAAGCCTCCATCACTAGGCGGTATATCGATGGCGCACCACCTCCACCATCTGATGATATGGAATCCTTTCGTGTATGTAATGGAGCGTTCTTTCTCCCACTCGATTCGTCGCCCATCCATCCTAACGGGCAACGCAGGCGCCAACCATGTAAAAGAGTTAGAGTGAATTGGGGAGATCGCATGCCAGAGATGGTCCTAATGAAATTCTTCTTTAATGAGGTACCCGGATCCTACACATTTCCACGAGACCATGAATACTGGAGCGAACAATTTTCATCTCCCACCGTTATTGCTATTTGTTACGATTGCTCGAGACCAGAGACTCTTCATAATGCAATTTATAAGGTATGAAATGCTCGTTTTTCTTCCATCTCGATAGGAGAAACTCATAGAATCGCCAGTGGCACCCATTAGTACAGCATTATTCTTCGGGGGTCCCCATTTTCCTACTTGGATGCAAATCAGATCTGAGAGGAGAAGTAAACCAAGTACATATACCTTTTGTTACTGCAAAAGAGGCGATGGACGCGGCACGTCAAATTGGTGCCATAGATGCACTCACAGCCAGACGAGCGGACGGGTATTTGTTAGTCAGGGGGTTCGTCGGTGTAATGTAGCCAATGTATTGTAGTTGC